GTATTAAAGAGGCATTTTTTGATTAATGTTTTATAAACATTTTTCAGCATGACAGCTTAAAGTCCCTGTAAAATTGTAAATGCGTGCATAGTGCTCACTTCCATAAAGTCAAATGCCATCTCATAAAGTCTAGTTGGATCCTGTCAGTGACAGTGACACAGAATCAGTACCTTGGAGCATTAAAATTAATTTGCTTCATTTATATTACTGCAGTGATAGCTAGATGAAAAGAGTCCTATATTTAAATTATCTTAAAAATGCCTTCAAATCTTTTAGGGTTTTTTATTATGATTATTTTACAGTTAACTAAATGTAGTGAAGTGCAGCATAAGATTTTCATGGGCCTTTGAAGAAGGTGGCCACGAAATGGGAAAAGGGGAAAGGGGAAAGGGGAGGATGTGGGAGGCTGTGGTGGGTGCAGAGCTGGAGGGAGGATTAAATGGCTTTCAGTTTTGCAGGCTACTAGAGAAACAGTGGCCTTTGAGCCAGGGTGATGCTCTACAGCCTTGGAGCCAAACTGGAATACCCTGGAGCCATGGAGAGCAAACAGGGCTTTCTTCTACCAGGCTGTGAGAGCAGCCCTCTCACTCTTCTTTGCTGTTGTTGAAGGTCACAGATAAATAATTTTTCTCTTGCTAGCTCTTCCTCAGGTTTGCAAAGTGCTTTTCTGAAAAAAGCTGAGTGAGGATGCAAACAGAGAGGAAACTAAAATGTACTGCCTAGCACAGTCCTGGCTCACTTTTCTCGGCTGCAGTAGGACTGTGATGTTAGTGCTCACTGTGCTTATTGATTTTAGTGGAAGTGCCCAAAATTTACACTGCTGCAGTGAGCAGAATCCAACATCTTGGGAAGCAAATAGAAGCAGGGTAGAAGCGTGGGAATGGGGAATAGGAGGCAAGAGAAAGAAGAGAGAAAATACAAACAGAAAAAGAGTCTCTGAATACCAGACCCAAAGAGCAAGGAGGAAGATGGGAACATGGGGGAGTAGTGGTAGGAGAAACATAGCCAAACAAAGGGGAAGAGGAAAATTTGAGGTAAAAAGCTGGGAATACCAATCATCTTGTTTGTAAGGGATATCTGTAGAATGATCTCTGTGCTTCCTCCCTTCTGCTACAGCTCTCTGTAGTCCTGGTCAGGCTGGGTACTGCTTTCTCATCCAGCTGGATACCGTGTGTGTTGTTTCTTTGGAAGAGGATGGGATATAACCTTGGCTTGTGCCTGTCATGGGGTTTGGTCAGCTCTGATCCAGGGGTTGGACACACATTCCTGCCATAAAGCTCTTCAGAAGATTTTAGCAACTCAGTGGTTTGTTAGCTTTGAGTGCAGCTTGCCCAAGTTGGCACCAAGCCATGGAAGAGAACTTGGTCATTTAGTTCTCCTGATATAAGTGAGGGTCTTTGGCAGGGGAGTTGAACGAAGCTGCTGGAAGACTGAAACTTCATAAACCACAGCAGCATGGATGGGTGTTTGTGGCATGAGCCTTCAGACCACAGTACTAGGCTTAAAACTTGCCTATAAACTGATAATGCAGTTCCTCCTCCAGTGCCAGTCAAGATGAAGAAGACCCGCAGAAGTCAGTCCATGTACCCTGAAATGCAGATAAGCATGATTAATGGCTCTGTGGAAGCAAAGTGAAAAATCCTTACAGGAATTATTCTTTATACATGTGAGTGCAGCCTTAATGCTTCAGATGGCAAATAAATACCCAGTAATATTGGGGCATGGGGAGAGGGAGGAGTTGCTGTGTATTGTTGAAGAAACTTAAGACTAAAGTAGTGGTTTGGGTTTTAATATGTATGACTTGATCCTGTGTGAATTTTTACTTATCTTAGACTTAGTGTAGCTCTCACATTCCATTGGCACTGGAAGCAATGTGCTATAAAAGATGAGGAAAAGAGCAGTGGACAGACCAAAATAAAGATAACCCTATTCATTTTGCTTAGCACCTTCATTCCTTGCTATCCATACAAAAGATTTAACCTAATTGCATTCACTTTATTAGTTCTGTTACAGCTCTACCTGCCTCATGCCACTGCTGTTTCAGTCAGCGTTTGCGTTACAGCTTCTCTTAGTGCTAGTTCATAATATTCTCTTCTGGAAAATGCATTTTGAGCTAAGATGCAGGAAACAGAATCAGCCCAGGCATTGCAATGTCAGTTTTCTTCCTTTGGGTTGGGTTTTTCTGTTGATTTGTGTTTCTTGGATTTTTTTTTTCCCAAGTGCTTTAGAGATAGATATAGATACATGTGTGTATATATATATGAGTGTGTGTGTGTGTGTTTGTTGGGGTTTTTTCCCAAGTGCTATAGAGGTGGATATATAGATATAGATATGGATATAGATGTGTTTGTTTTTTCCCAAGTGCTTTAGATATAGATAGATATATATATGTATAGGAAAAATACAGTTGGGTTGTTTGGGCTTTTTTTAAGAGAGAAAAACATGACTGTTAAAACATGTTTCTCCTAATTAGATACTTGCATGAGTTTTATGTATTTGGAAAACATTAGCACTAACACCAATGTCTGCAGTTACTATGTGTTGCTGCTGGAGAGTTTAGACACAACATTTTAAAGACACAAATAAAACCCATGCTGTTTTGGTTAGCTCTGTGGTAATGTCACTGACACAGGGATTTGTGACTATACCATGTGGATCTCTGTCCTGAAATATTTGCTGAGAGAGTTGCATACCAGTAAAGTTGAAATTATAAAAATCAGGAAGTGCTTAAAAAGACATCAAAGCTTCCCCCCTCCCCCCGAACTAGTCCTTACGTGCAAAAATCATTATTATTATTTCTTCTTTCCACCAGTTAGTTTCTCCTGGTAAATAACAGGAACTTTAATTGCACATTAGTAGCTTACAGGAACCTATTGTTGTGACATGTATTTAAACAAGCTGTGAATTAAGAACCTCTTTCCGCCCAGTGATCTAATTATATTGTCACACTAATTGCAGCGTTTTGTATTTATATTTGACAACTTTAATTTTCTTTTCCGAGTTTACTGGAATAGTTTTCCTCTGGAGAATTTACCTTGTAGGCTGGAAATTCTTGGCTTGGCTTTCAGGAAATGTGCAGTAGTTTCAAGCGTGGCTCAGGCACTTTGGATCCATTCTGTTCATGTCTCTGCCATTAGCTTTCTGTGTGATCTTAGGCTAATCTTTTTAGTGTTTTTGACTCTCTGTAGGAGCCCTGTTCAGCTTACCAAAGTATTTTTGGATCTATGGATGAAATTGCACTACCAAAACCACCAGGTGCTGTCTTACAAACATAAATACAGCATGTTCATTGCTTGGGTCTCCAGTATATTTTTCTATGATTAGAGAATAGGAAAGAACCCACAAGGGTCAAGTGGCAATAATATAAATAAAACCTTTCTCTGTTTACAAAACCAGTAGGATGAGCATCTGAAGTAAATGACATGCCTTAATAGAATGCAAATGCCCATTTAATTCCTGTCCAAATACTGTCCATTCCCAAGTCCCAGAAATTAGTGTTAATAATAAGCAGATCTATTGTGTGGTAAGTCCATTATGTTGTTTTGAAGGTAATTATAATGCTGAAATTAAGCATACAAGCCTTGATTTATTTGATTTAATTTTCCCCCTGGAAGTACATAAGGAAAGGCTGCTAGCATGGGGGTGAGATTTTTGGTGGTGTAATGTGAAGAAAGTAATAAAAATAATGGCAAGAAATGATGCTGTAGAAGCATCATGAAGATTTCAGCAGCCTAGACATGTGTCAGCAATGGCAGGACCTGGTGAAGAGGTAATATTCAACAAATAAGCTGTTTCCTCACTGAAGGAGGAGGCAACTTTTATGAAGGGAAACCTGAAAGGGTGTTGAAAATGGGAATTTATCCAAGATATAGAGAAATGTTTACATAGACATAGCAATTTTTGATGAACTGTAACATCTACAAATGGAGAAGTGGAGGGCACATGGCACAAAGCTCAGCTTTTTGTCATTGCTAAGAAAACAGACAAGGCAAGGTCAGGTTGGATGGTGATTTGAGCTACCTGGTCTACTAGAATGTGTCCCCTTGGCAGGGAGGTTGGTGATTTTTAAGGTCCCTTCCAACCCAAACCATTCTGTGCTTTTATGAGACACTTAGATGAGCTCTGTGAAAACTGTGTAGTCTGCTTTGCTGCAAGGTTGACACTGGTGGAAGATTCCTAGAATGGCATTGAAGATGTGGGAGAAAACAAGGTATGTCCTCAGGAGGCTCCTGAGGAATTGCAGCTGCTCCTGTTGGTGACTATGCAAATATCTGGTCAGGCAAAACAGAGACGGTTACAGGTTTTGCCCACACCTGAGCTTTGTGGACCATGGTAGCAAAGTTCCAAGGTTTAACCAGATAGTTTTGACCAATAACATGTTCAAAGTAAACATCATCAGTTTCCTTACTGCAAAACTAAATGAAATTTAATTTTACATATCACATCATCAAGTGGGAAGATTATGCATGGAGATGTCTAATAGAATTAGCACTGTTGAATGCAAATTCAAGCTCTTAGAAAAAATGGCCCATCACTAGCTCTTAACACTGACTTGTTCCAGCATCTAGCAACTTCTGCCCTCCTGCTGCTGCCTAACTCCTCCCAGGCACAGCACAGTGAGAGGAAATAGTAAATGAGCAGTACAGAACTATGCTAAGCAAGTGGCCAGTCATGCTAGAGCAGAATATGTTGTATATCAAGTCTTCAGCAGCACTTTGACAACTATTAGCATAATTGGAAAAGATCTTTTATGGCATTCTCTACTCCCTCCTTTCTGCCACAGAACTTTCTCTGCCATGTGTGGGGTTTTTTTTCAAGTTTTTGCTGGTTTGAGTTGGGTTTTTTAATGTATAAAACTTCTGAGTCTTCATTTTGTTTCTTTTGGGTTTCTTTTTTTTTTTTTTTTTTTTTGGTGAGATGTCAATGCAACATAAAATGCTTCACTTTTTTCCAGAGCTCAAAGTCTGAGGAGAGTCTGTCTCTTGTTTTTCTGCCTGCAGGGATTCCCATGCTGAAGATAGTATTTGCTGGTTATGAGTACCTGTCCTTAATTTCTGTCCCCTTGCTCATCTATCATCCTGCTCAGATTCTTCTTGGCAGTCTCTTGGTACCAACGATAAAATCTTGGATGGTTTCTAGGCAAAAGGTAAGGATTGTTGAATTTGATTTCTAATGGAAAGTGTGCTGTGAGGAAATAAATACCTAAACACATGTCTTAAACTCCTCAGGTTCCTTCTTAGTGAGCCAGTGGTAGGGATTTTTCTGTTCCTTTGCTGCTTTTATGACAGTGATAGTCACAGCAGTATCCACTTAAAAGTGCTGAACTTTATCCCTCTTGAAAAGGGCTGAAAAGACTCTGAAGAGGTTCAAAGCTTGAAGTTAGACCTCCACAGTGAATTCAGATTATGAATTCAGAGTGTGCCCCATAAGAATGGCTCCATCTTCAGCTAATCATCACAGCTTTGGATCTCCTTTACGGAGCAGTGGCAAAGCTTTGTCCACTGGCTTTGGTGCTGGGGAAATCAGAGTTTTAGGGGCTGGAATGGACTTTACAGATCATCTAGTCCCACCCCCCTGCCCTGGGCAGGGACACCTCCCACCAGAGCAGGTTGCTCAAGGCTCAGCCAACCTGGCTGTGAACACTGCCAGGGTTGGGGCAGCCACAGCCTCCCTGGGCAACCTGGCACAGTGCCTCACCACCCTCACAGGGAAAAACTTCTTCCTAATATCTAACCTAAATCAGGTAACATGATGGCACTTTCTGAACTGGATTGAAGCAGGATGAAAACTTTGGTTTTTCCTTCTTGGGTCACCCTCTATAATAGCAAGAAATCTCCAGCAATCTGGTGTATCACATTTCATGCCAAAATTATGGCATGAGGTAGCCTGCAGAATTACAGGCTATAATCTGTGGGGTTTGGCATGAACATCCCTGATTCAAATGATGCTTATTTTGGTAAAATTGAAGGCATTGACATCTGACAGCCATTCTGTGCTCTATATGGAATAACTGCAGTGGTTTTAGTCAGGTTCTCAGAGCAGTAGTGACCACCTTGCAAAATGTTAGTCCATGCAGTCGATTTTAATGCTGTTTTTAATGTTCTGAGGCAATAAAGATCAAGAATCTGTGGTAACTAAAGCAGCCTTTGATATTCTTGGTGAGAGCTGAGACCTACTGTGGGGAGCCCAGGACCACCAGTGCCCTGTACCAGTGGGGAAAGTTTATTTATAACTCTCACATATCAAGTTTTCAGGAAAACCCAACAGGCTGTCATTTTATTGCCTTCACTCCACTAAAGTAACCTTGCTAGCTTGAATCCTAAAATTCCCCAAATCAGTGATTTTCATGTATTACCTGAACTGTAAAAAGCAGGAAAATTCTCAGTTTCCAAGAGCTGAGTTCAGAAATCAAACCTTGCTAAGCTATACTGATCTTAGCATCTGAAAATGGAAGTTGGAGAATCAAGCGTCATTTTTCCATCAGTCTGAAAGCCACAGTTTTGCTTTGAGTCAGAAATTATCAGGAGACAATAAGGGTTTTATAAAGCATAATCTGTGCTATTCCTGCAGAAAGATAGCCTGAAGTTGATGCTACCAGTGACAGAATGATCCCTGCAATGCTGACTTCTCTTCAGCATCTCACTGCTCTCTGCTGCCAAGGCCAGGAGTGGGATTGGAGCTCAGCCAGACCTCCCTGATCCTCAGGGTGGTAATGGCCTTTAGGGGCTGCTGTCAGCTGCTGCGAGTTAAAACAGCCTTTAAACAGAGCAGCAGAACAGTCAACCAGTTCTGGAGAGATTTACAGTTCACCAGCACTAGTTTCTTATTCATTAAGCATCAAATAAACCTCCTGTGCTAATCAGACTGTAATGCTGCTGTAGAACCACTTTGGGGGATTGTTGTTCTGTTGCAGCAGTTTCTTCAGTTGGTCTTCTGTATTATTCACAAATGTTATTTTAATTACTCTTTGAAAAAAATCAATGAGGTTGGGTCTGGTGCAGTTGCAATAAGTATAATAGAAGTGAGTGTTGTGACTGGATAATGGTCTCCTGCTTTGAAAATAAACATGTCATCATCACCCTTGATGTTTATTTTCTGCAAACACCTTGGCTTCATTTTGGCATCTCTCTTGCAGGAGGAGACGGTTATCCAGTCACAGTACTCAGCTGCAGTGACATTCTTACTTAATTATGATAGTACATGTGATCTGGTTGTATGAAATTGAATTTAAATATTTAGAGGTTCATCTACGCTAAGGTATTTCGAGTTTGTAAATATGGCAGCAGGATCTGCCAAACTACAAAGTTTAAAAAATTGTTTTCCCCACACAAAATGTGGAATGATGTGTCTCTCTCCAAAGTCT